CCAGCCTGTCCAGATCCCTCTGCAGAGCCTTCCTTCCCTCAGGCAGGTCAACGCTCCCACCCAACTCGGTGTCATCTGCAAACTGACTGAGGGTGCACGGGATCCCCTCGTCCAGGTCACTGATCAAGATGTTAAAGAGAACTGGCCCCAGTGCTGAGCCCAGAGGAGCAGCACTGGTGAGCAGCCCGCAGCGGGATTTAACTCCAGTCACCACACCTCTCTGCGCCCAGCCGTCCGGCCAGTTTTTACCCAGCAAAGAGCACACCCATCCAAGCCATGAACAGCCAGTTTCTCCAGGAGAATGCTGTGGAAAAGAGTGTCAGAGGCTTTGCTAAGGTCTAGGTAGATGACGTCTACAGCCTCTCCCTTGTCCTCTGAGCATGTCGCCTTGTCACAGAAGGAGATCCCTTTAGTCTGGGAGGTAATGAGAAGGGAGTAGAATTGGGAGGCGGTAGGGGAGTCCTTCAAATGTAACAAAGACAAATGTTATGAAAGCTTCTAGAATATCAGCCTCAAGAATAGCATGGCAGGTAATGGATTTAGTTTTTATCAGGGAGGTTTGTTTTTAGGTGACCGTTTTATGCTTGGCCATCCTTCCCAAGGAACTACGAACTCCGTTGTCTTCAAAAATAATTGCCGTATCAAGCTTTGTTTGAGTGTGCTTTGACTTCCCAACTGGGGAAGGATCAAAAGAGATCCCTGCAGAACCATTCCAATCTCAGGGATCTGGAATTGCCGAGTTAGTATCAAAGCTTACACTAGTCCTCGTCAGCGGTGACTCTGTCTTTTGATGTCTGCGTGTCGGTCAGCTACACCGCATCGGTTCTGCGTAACCAACTCCTCTTTTGGTTTTAGGCGATGCCCAATGGTCCTGCTTGGTGTTGGTGGCTTCTGGCTGTTCTCCCCGTAGACCCCAGGTACCAGCTGTCCGTTCTCTCCATGATGTCCTTAAAAGACCGACTGATAAAAATCCAGCATATACTGACGTATTTTTCTAGAGACCAGTCCAAGTGACTAACCGCCCGGGTCTTCCTGAGAAGTTACTCTGTTCTGGTTGTAGTAGCAGCTGGAATTTTTGCTGCCTTTGCACATCTAGCGCTGGGTTGAGAAGCGTAACGGAACTGCTTTTTTTTTCCTCCCTCCTCCCCACCCTCACGACTTCCCAACCCCGCACTTCTTGGAAGCGCGCTCTCCTCGACGACGAGAGGAGCCCACCGGCAACTGCACGGAGCCGCCCCAGCTAGGTGCCTGTTGGTCACGTTACCTACGTTACGATTTGCACTATGTAGAAGAGAACCTTTCCAAGACTTGATCGTTGTAGCCACTGACTTTTTAAAAGCTGTGGGAAGTGCAGGACTTCAGGCTTGACAGTCCGAGTTTACAACATTGAGGGGGTCTTAAAGGTTTGGCAAATGTTTGCCTCCTACAACTGTTGTTTTGCTGTTTGCACAAATATTGGGAATATGGTATCGAATGTCCCTGTTGGCTATTACTCCTCTTGTTGAATTACCGTGACCACGAACACGGCACAGATTTTTTGACTTGTCTCGTAAATGCGTCAGAACAGGTGACATAACGAACTTTGCTGAACTGAGAGCCAATTTTAAGGAACAAATGCAAAAAAAAGGTACTTCTGTCTAAAAATACTTAAAACTGTGAATATGGTTTACATACCTAGGCCTGTACATGTTAAAGAGGAAACTGAAAACTACGTGCTAGTACCAGTTACGTGTCTACTGGGCTTTTCAGGCTGGCTGTTCTTCCAGAGCGCACCCTTAGGTTATAGAGCCGAGAAGGAGAAATCCTAAGGGCGTGCATCGGGGATTGTGCGTCCGGGATGCAAAAGCTTAAAAGTTTTATTTGAACTTTTTTAAGTTGGTGCAAATGTGGGTTCTCTGCCTTACTCGTACCCATAGTAGAGCACACTGCAGTGGCAAGGTTAGCAGCCTGCTGCCAATAGGGACTTTTTGTAAGTAAAGGTTGGCATATTTGTGAATATGTCCGATAACTGGCTTTCTTCTACGTAAATCATTTGTAAAATATTTCTTAAATCTTGCTTTTGCTAATATATTTAATTTTCAATAAAAGCTAAAAGTTTGTAATATTTTTAACTTTATCAGAAATGTAAAAATCCCTTTCATTTTCCATTTGCTTCTCTTCTGGGATCTTAAGTAAATCCAGAAGCAGCTGTTTAACCGACATCAGGGTTGTGGGCACTCCGTGGTGTAACCAGTATGTAAGTAATCAGTTGCTCATGGTAGTACCTGTCTCAGACCATTGGTCAGGCAAGTTTTTTGCTGGTGTCCTGCTTTTGTGTCCACTTTGGTTAAATTTGGGCGGTTTCAGGGATGAAGTTTGCGTTTTACGTAACTTAAGGGAAAACTGTTCCTGCAGAACAGTTGGGTATTTCACAGACTTGCCAATCAGATGCTCTGGCATTGTTCCCTTCTGGAACTCGTTATTGTAAGAATGTGTTGTGACAGCTTTTTAAAATTGCAGAAAAATAAGCAAGTGCGACGAGCGATTTCTGGCTGTAGAAAATCTCGGGTTGTTGTGTCAGTGCAATAGTTGGAACGCTGAGCCAAGGGGAAGTGTTTCTCCTTTCAGAGCAAAAGCATTGTGAAGGACGTCCAGCTAAACGGCTGCGATGTGCCACGTTAGCCTCGAGGACAACCCCGTAAAGTCCTTGCAGGTAGGACGGGCTGGGCCCAGCCGCACACCCTTCACGCTAGCCGCGAGGCAACTGACTGCTCAAACAAGGGGTTGCCTCCCAGAGCTCGGTGCAGGCTGCACAAAACACCCCAAACGACCCACAAATGACCATCTCTATGGCAACCGAGGCACACGGCCTCTTCATGCCCAATGTGAACTGGCACAATTTTACAAATGAAGTTAGAAGAATCAGGGTGCAAGTAGTTTGAGAAGAGTAACTAAAGACAGTATGGAATATTCCAGGTGTAACACTCAAACCATTGTCTGTCAGCACTTTTCATTGCCCTGGGGAAGCCTGTACCAAGACAGCAGTATGACACAGCAATGGGGATAGAAAAGAGGCACGAATGCTGGCTGCACGGTACTAGGGTAGTCAGGTGCCTAAGGAGCTTGTTGGGTTGATAACCCATCAGTGCTGGGAGGGAGGGGAGAACACCTTCACCCGGGGTGTAACGTCACCCTGGGGTTGTGTGCTCTTACACAGCTGAGCTAACAGACTGCTGCCAGCGGGGAAAAGGGCTACGTTCTCCTCCATGGCTGTTGGCCCTGGTTCTTGTCTCATTACAAGATATGATGATCCGATTTGCTCAGAGTACGTGCTCATCTCTATTTATCCACTTCTTGGAACTTCAACCTCTTTGTCATCACTCACCCTCGCTATGACTGGTATTTCATTTATAAAGTCATTAGAAAAGCAACCACCCTTAAAATGAAGAAAAGCATTATTTTGCTTTAGTGTGAGCTTTGGCCGATTAAAGGACCCCTGCACTTAACTCCAGGAGGGAGCACTGCTGAGGACATGGCTTAGAGCTCTTCCATCCAGCTATGCCCGTGACTGAGGCCAGCAGCGGTGTGTCATCCCGTTACTCGTGCTAAGGGTAAGCAAGCCTGACCCAGCACGTGAGGAACAAAGCAACATGGTGACCTGTAACAGCAAGACATTGAGTCAAGGAGTAGAGTAGCTCCCCAAATACTCTCACCTAACGCCACTCCATGCAGGCTTTAGTGCGTAGGTTTTTTAGGAGATTACTACCTCACTTAAGGTCCTGAAGTTACATACCCCAGCTGATAGGTGGGTTTTGGGAGCACTTACTCAATAAACCTCCAAGAAGCAGCTTTGAATTCAACAGTTTATTTCTAATTGTAAAAGCATAAATGTTACATACATTGAGTAATTGCATATTCGTTAGTCGTACCTATTCAGAGGATTGGTGTGTGCAAAGATGAGACAGCCATGCTTAGATTTCCCCTCTGCAGGTTGTTGCTTTACTCTTTATTCCCTGCTTCAGCTCAGTAAAATTTTGATAGAAACAGACTGAGGAAATAGATATCTAATAGTTAGAGTTACTGAAGCGTATGAAGACAGTTCTGACATCATCAGACAGGCCCTTTCGAACTCCTGAAGGTAGAGATCTGCCTAGTATTTAATAGGGCAAGGACTGGGCTAGGTAAGAGTTCAGCAGACGGGCAGTGAGCCTAGGTACAGAGCACTCAAACCATTTATAGCTTGAACAGGGTGAATTCTCTTTAGAAACAAGAGAATCGGCATCAGCTTCATCGCATCACTTTAGCAGATACGCATAGGGAATGTATACACACACACATTTTAAAGAAAACCTAAACAAACACATATGCATACAGATTTTTTTATGTAAGGCAGGTCTTTTATTTCAGGCTTGTCAAACATTTTTCCAGCCCCTTTTCCTATTAATACAGCATACGGTGCCGTTTTATTGCTAAAGAAAGCAGACCATCATTGCAAGCAGAACAGCATCAGCAGTGGCTTGAGGCAGCAGTCCAGCTGAGTTAACAAGGTTCAAGACATACATTATTACTGTGGAAGAAGAATACCGTTACAGGAATAGAGAAGACGAGTAGAATTCTACTTAGATTGCACCAAATCATTCTCTTGACATAGTCCATAGTTAACAGGATACACTAAAAAGCAGAACAGCACCATTTTGGAGCAACAGAAAAAGACCTAAAACACTACTTCCCCATCTTTTACTAAGTTGTTATATTACAAAGAAGACAGAAGGGAAGGATGAGGACACAGCCGACTTCATCTGCTGCTCTAACAATGCTCTCTTCTGCAAGAAGGGATACAGGACTTGTGAGCTCACCCAAATGCAAATCCCAGTATGAACGAACGTGCATGCCCTTACCTCTGCGTAACTAACAAGTTACTACTTAGTACCACTTACAAGCTGCACTCCCGAAGTTTTTTGTCAGCCTGCTTCAAGGAGATCCAGGTGTTTAACATGTTTGATCGCAGCTTGGCCCACACCAAATGGTTGTTTAAGCCAAATATCTGGGCAGCGAACTGGGCAGCTCCTTCAGGTGAGAGGGTGGTAGGACAGCCAAGACCTGCAGGGAAGAGCATGCTGCTTACCGAAGCGTTTCACAGGCAAACACAACACCGCCTCCAAAGAGCGACTTAAGACGAAGTTTGTTTCACCCTCCAGGAACCACACAGTCTAGCTGTAAGGCTACTGAAGTGTCATGTGTTCCACTACCTCTAACATCGCTGCTTCATGGCATTTTAACCCAAAAGCCAGCACACCATGTGACTCTCCCTACAGAGAGGTAGGAGACTGCTGGGCCTCCCCAGTCACCAAGCAACCGTTCAACCACTAACCAAGTTCAAAGATGCACGGGAGTGCTGCGTCCAGCTGTGGAGCCCTCACCATCAGAAGGATATAGACTGGTTGGAGCGAGTCCAGAGGAGGCCACGGAGATGCTCCGAGGGCTGGAGCACCTCTGCTATGGGCACAGGCTGAGAGAGTTGGGCTTGTTCAGCCGGGAGAAGAGAAGGCTCCGGGGAGACCTTATTGCCCCTTCCAGTACCTGAAGGGGCTACAAGGCAGCTGGGGGGGACTTTTTACAAGGGCCTGTAGTGACAGGCCAAGGGGTAACGGGTTTAAATTGAAAGTGGGGAGGTTTAGGTTGGATATCAGGAAGAAATTCTTCCCGGAGAGGGTGGTGAGGCACTGGGACAGGTTTCCCAGAGAAACTGTGGATGCCCCATCCCTGGAAGTGTCCAAGGCCAGGCTGGATGAGGCTTGGAGCAACCTGGTCTAGTGGAAGGTGTCCCTGCCCATGGCAGGGGGGTTGGAACTGGATGGTCTTTAAGGTCCCTTCCAACCCAAACCATTCTGTTATTCTAAGATTCTATGAAGAATTGCACAGGTACCAATGCACTGCTGTACTAGTTCAGTAAGCTCTTACCTGCACTGATTGTGGAGAAAGATACTCTTTGATCATAAGGAAAACGTAGCTCTAACTGAACAAACTCAACTATT